GTATATATAGTCGCGCGCGGTGAGGCGGGTTGCATGCGTTGCTTGTGAAGAAGAGTAACGCGGGAGAGTTTAGTTTGGCAGCGCGCAGATATGGAATGTGCAGTGGAGTGTTCATGCTTGCAGCCACCACGTACGCCATACCCCATGGATTCCTGAGACTGAATTCTTCAGGCATGGCAAGGAGATAAATGTGCCTGAATCGGCTCCACCTGCAGGTTTCTCAGGTCAACAAGATTGAACACGTGCACGAGCGAGTGTGTGTGTGTGCGCGCGCGCGCGCGTGTGTTAATTGTTTGTTCTCAGGACAAGTCCATCGATCTGATTCTGTGCAGCGTAGACCTTGAAAGTTGGAGCATGAGAGCCCCCACGGCAGTGACAATTCGGTTAGGCACCTGTGGAACTGAAACTCTGAAACATGCATGCTTTATGCGATCGCCGTGTTCTATCCATCAAGCTTGTGCGATCGCCGAGACTCCCGCAAACCAGCTACTAATTAATAGCTGTCACGTTGTGGATAACGTTTACGCATGCAGACGATGGCAACAAGCCATCAAACAAAAGTGTGATCCGTTGCCTGCTGCTAGGGGTAGCCCTGCAGCTGCCTGTATTAGTAGTGCCTACTTTTGACATCTGCCGATCTTTGTTACTCCTACTAGGCACGCGTATGTTCTGAGCAGCCGAGAGGAGTCGTAGAGGTCGTGCTGCCAAACTCGATCGGTGACTTGCCGGCCCAAGCCTTGCCGCCCTACTACGTACGACGTACCTCGGCTGGAGCCTGGAGGGTACTGTAGATCGGTCGCTGCATTGCACGGAGACTACGCTCCAGCTAGCTGCTTGCTCGATGGGCTGGAGCCTGGAAGAAGACCGGTCGTTGCATTGCATGCATATATGGAGAGTACGCTACAGCTATAGCTGATGCTACACTTTTCGTGTGCTGGAAGAGAGATCGATCGATTAAGGCCCCGTTTAGATGCAACCAAAACCTAAAATTTTTCAAGATTTCTCGTCACATCGAATCTTACGGCACATGTATGGAGTACTAAATGTAGACGAAAAAAAACTAATTACACAGTTAGCCGAGAAATCGTGAGACGAATCTTTTAAGCCTAAATAGTCCATAATTGGATAATTTTTGCCAGATACAAACGAAAGTGCTACAGTAGTCAAAAGCCAAAAATTTTCGGAACTAAACGGGACCTAACGCCGCCGACCGAAATGAAGGCCCAAGTATAAGCATTAGTACTACAAGGTCTCTGTTTAATTTGGGGCGCCCGGAGGGCGAGGTCACTCTCCTCCATGGCACTAATTAATTTGTTTGTTTTATACTCTCAGTTCTAAATTATAAGTTATTTTGATTTTTCTTGATACACAGTTTTTCTATGCACCAGGATATACGTTATGGGCTTGCTAGCGCCCGGATGTCCAGACGGACGAGGTGTCCGGATGCCCACGCTAGCAGTCCGTTTCGCACGCCCAAGCAGGGCCCGTGCCGCCCCGAACGTCACTAGCATCAAGAAGAGGGGGGGGGGGACGGCGGATGCCCAGCCGGCGCCGAGAGGAGGAGGAGACACTGAGGCGAGGTAGCAGAAAGCGAGAAGAGATATGCAACACCCGATCTACTTTTGCAACATCCAGACGAAACACTTGCAACATACGTTTAAAGATAGATGAAACACTTGAAACATGCATTTGAAACACTTGCAAAAACACTTAAAAACCATTGTAAAGCATACGCAACATCCAGATAAAATACTTACAACATATGTGTGAAACATATGCAATATCCAAATAAACGCACTTGCAACACACGTCTACAAAACAGATAAAACATTTGGAATAGACACTTGCAACATACGTGTACAACCATTGCAACATATGCAACTTTCCGACCTACTTTTATAGCATCTGCATGAAATACTTGTAACATACCTCTGAAACATCTGAAATACTTGAAACATACGCATGCAACATGTTAGACACAATACTCTAGTGGGCAGCGACCACCATGTCTGGCGAGCCTCGAGGCAGTCGCGAAGTACGGCATGGCCATGACGCCCTTGCTGTCTCTTGTCACAGGAGGAGGTGATGAGGAGGACGCCGGCGCCGACAATGAGGCGGCGGAAGTGCGGGAGAGGGAGCTTGTGCTGGTACCCGAAGTAGAAGAAATCCGAGGATATGAGCAACACCACGGGAATGGGGAGCTTGGAGAGCGGCCGCGTGGCAGCGGGCGCCACGGTCACAACTAAAGATGGCAATGGGTATCCAAAACCCGACTACCCGATGGGTTTTACCCGATAAAGAGATGGGTATGGGAAGAATTCTTCACCCATGGGTATACTAATGGGTAAAAATCTCTATCCATTGGGTATGCGGGTACGGGTACGGGGACATACTACCCACACCCGTGTACTCACGGGTAAATTATACCCGCCTTAGCAACACATATGCATTCATTAATTACTATGAAATACACATATATCTAATAGATCTATGACTATTATACTATTAACTAGTGTAGTTTTTTTTGCTATGTTATAATTGTTGATTTATATTGACAAAGAATTGGCGATATATTATTCTAATAATATAATATACTAATGTTCTTTTGATTTGTAGCGGGTATGCATTCGGGTATAGGTTACTCGTTGGGTATTTTTACCTGTGCGGGTACGGGTATGGGTGAAGTCTTCTACCCGTGCGTGGGTATGAGTAATTCTGCGGGTAAAACTTTATCTCGTGGGTACGAGTATGGGATAGCAATAACCGACGGGTATATACCCGTTGCCATCTCTAGTCACGACGCTGAGGGGTGGGCAGAGTAGGACGAAGGCCATGGCGGTGGCGAGGGCCACGATGAGGAGCAGGAGGCGGGGGGGGGGTGAATGAGGGCTGGGGTGCGGCCACGAAGGAGGAGAGGAGAGAAGCGGTGGGCCACGGTGAGTCGCTGGAGTCTGGACCTCGACTGAGTGGGCGGAGACGCCATCGGCGGGTGATGCTTTGACGGCTGGACTTGGGGAGAGTGGGAGTGGACTAGATGGCAGAAGCAGAACGTGCTTGCGACTGGTGGTTGGCAGCTCGCATAGTGGGAAATTTTTTAGGGGAGGCGGCGTTAGGACGGACGGATGCCTGCACCGTAGCATTACCGTATACGTTATGTCTAGATATTCCCAACACTGTACAGAAAAGATTTTTAGAGGCGGTTAAAATCGGTTTTCAGTGGTGGTTTAAAAAACCGCTACAATGCCACTAATTGTAAAAATAAGTGATTTTCAGAGACGGTTTTAAAACCGCCTCTAAAAATTGATTTTCAGAGGTGGTTCTCTTAAAACAACCGCCCCTAAAAATCGATTTTCAGAGGCGGTTGACTTAAGTCAACCGTTCCTAAAAATAATTTTTTATTTTTTTAAAAAATCATTTAGAGTCCAACAAAAACAAGAAAAAATATTTAGTGTGGCTAGAGGCCTAGAGGGCCAACCAGTCACTTGTAGAATTTAATTTTCACCACCATCCGAAACTGATATAGTGCAGCAATTAGGATTTGTACTCGTGACCTCTCGCCCCGTGCGGTCTGTCCCCTATCACTACACCACACAGTCAATTGTGTTGAGATATACAATGTTGTCCATTTGTACTAAAACGTATGGATCTTGTAATCAATATTTGGACTATTAAACGACCTTAAATGGAAAAAATTCAACTATAAAGTTTTAAATCTCTTTGAGCACTACAACTTTCGTATAGAACATTTCTCCATCCAAGGTCATTTGAGAAATTCAAAATTGTGAAATTGAAAATCTGAGACTTAATTTATATATTTGGAACCCTAAATGATCTCAAACAAAAATTTTATCAACTACAAAGTTTTAAATCTCGTCGAGGTCTACAATTTTGATATAAATTTTATCTTTACCCGGCTTCATTTAAAAAAGATATGAATTTATTTGTGCTTTAACTATTTTTAAGGACAGTTGACTTAGTCAACCGCCTCTGAAAATCACTCATTTTCAGAGACGGTTGTTAGCATTTTCAGAGACGGTTCTCTTAACAGAACCGCCCCTAAAAATGGATATATTTTTAGAGGTGGATTTCTTAATGAAACCGCCCCTGAAAATGGATTTTCAGTGATGATCATGGAGCTACAGTGCTCCCAACGATGTTAGAGGCGGCGTGCTAGTTTTACCGCCTCTGATAGAAAAGGGAGATGCTTCTAAAAATATATTTTCTGTACCACTGCAATAAGCCTTGTCACAGATAATGTCAAGCTCCCTCCACACCCTATCCTGACCTTTCCACCTAAACCATATATAGCAATTGCAAACGAAGGGCTCTGGCGAAGCGTTCCAAGCCTAATATCCCCATGCCTCCGCTATTTTTTGGTCTGCATGTCGGTGACATTTTCTAGATCATCCCTTCTCCAAAGGAACACTCTTCTTATTTGATCAATCTTGTGGACTAACCACTTTTGTGCTTAGAAAACTATAAGCTGATAGATTGACAAAAACACCAGCATCATTAGCAAGAGAGCATCTCAGCTTGGTGTTCGGGCAATTTGAGGTGTTACAATGTTGCTTCGCCCTCCCTAGTCTATACAACTGATTTAAAGGAAGTAAAATAACTTGTAATTTGTATGAATAATGAAGTCTTTGGTTCATTTGAGTATTCAGATTGTCTAGAATTCGGTTCGAGGTCTTTATAATTTTCCATTGTGACAAGCCACGTCATCCACTCACGCATTTCAGGATACATATCTCAAGCTATATGTAACCATACAGGACATGGATTTACCAGAATAGGGTATGTATTATTCCCAGACATATCAACTGCTGCTACTTTCTACAAAAGAATATACATGAAAGTTACGTGAATGAACCAATTAACGAATACACGCTTAGCAAAACAGAGTTGCAGGTTTTAACGGGTGTTAGGAATATATGTACATGAGTATGACTACTCCATGTGTACAAGCTACAAAGTACAAGTAACTGATTTCAATTGCTCCCCTATTTTGTGGCACTGCAAGGCTGCGGGTGAACGATCCCAGATTTTCTCCATTTTGCATTCTGGCAGGTGCTTTCTGTGTTGCCCTTGCCACCCTGCATTTTCAGGTCGATGTTCTGCAAGGTAATGCCTTGGCATGGGACGTTCTTGCTGCAATTCATCTTGATGGCATCCTTGGTAATGGTTGTCCCTCTAATGTTCTTGAAGACAACATTGCTGACCTGCACTGCCGATCTTTGTTCCCCGCATGACTTAGCCTTGTCGCAGTAGTTCTGGTCAATGATTATCGGGTTCTTGACATCGTACATGATCATGTTTTGGAATGTGATGTCCTTGGCATATCCACTTCCTGGTATGTCTTGATGCGTGCTCCATTGGTTGTGCCATATAGTTGCACTGAATCTATGGTAATGCCAGAGACTTTGGCTCTTGAGTTGTCATCTCCTAAGCTTCCAATGCTAATCCTCTGCTCTGGACCACAGACAACTTTGGAGACATGAAAGTTATGAGTCCCGTTCTCGATTGACACACAGTCGTCCCCTGCAAAATTCGTCGACGCAACCAGAGTGCCCTTCACCGTGAACCGTGACACTGGACTTGCACGGGCCATGGAGGGTGACGAGCTTCAACAGGTAGTGCCTGCCCTCGGGGAGGCGCACGCCGCTTTCCATGCCTTTTCCAGAGCCTGCGTGTCATCGTGCCGTAATGGTCGAGACTGAACACGCTCTGCGACGGTGGTGACGCCAGCGACCTGCCCCTGGTAGCGGCGGCGGGTTCGCTGGCACCAGAGCTGCGCAAGTAGCTCGCGCCGTCAGACGAGGTGTCGTTGCTCGCGCCTGCAACCTCGAAAACGCCGGATAGGAAGAGCAGCGCGAGCAGGGGCGACATGAACACACGCTTCAGCAGCTTCCTGTTAGATGCCATTGGCAGAGCAAAGCACGATGGAGTGGTTGAAGCGAGGACTCTGAACTTGGACTCTGACCAAGATCACAAGAGAATTGAAGCCAATGCAACACAGTTGCTCTTAGCTAAAGGTAGACTGGTCGTTGCATTGCATGCATGGAGAGTACGCAACAGCGCTATAGCTGATGGCAATGCTAGCTACTTTTCACTTTTCGTGTGCTGGAAGAGAGATCGATCGATTAACGCCGCCGATCGAAATGTGAAGGCCCAAGTACACTTATCAGTACAAAGGTCGCTGTCTGGGGCGAAGAGCGAGGTCACTCTAACATGGCACTAATTCATTTGGTTACGGGAAAAAATATTTTATACTTCCAAACAAGTGATCGAGTCTATTTGTCCACTGAAACTTGAAAACAAACCATGCATTAGTATTATATCGAACTACTCAAAGCAAATCATGCATTAGTATTGTCCAGTGCTATCGGTAATCTTGTTTTTTTTTATTCGAATGGGACTTTTTCGGGTTCTTAAATTTTGGTCAAAATTTCACATGTTTTAAAATTTTTGGGGATTTTCAAGATTTTCGTTTCTACTGGTTACCTCCGGCTTTCGTGCCCTAACCAGTAGACTGAACCCTGACCGCCATTGCTATATATATGCTTCCAAGTCGTTCCAGCATGAGAAAAATTTATATACACCCGTTTGTATATCAACTGTTGGTTCTAGCCTAAAAGACTGGTAACAAAAATCCGCGTCGGGCCTCAAGGACGCGTGTCTTTAATATATTAGAGACGACTTATAATAAGACGGGTATAGTGGTTGCGTTGGGTTGTGGACTAATATTTCAGAGACAGTCACCCGTCTGTATTACTTTTTCTATGACGCTAGCTGACTTTATGGACCCATCTCCTTTGTTGTTTTCTGGCGTAGTGGCTTTCTACATACTTTGTATAACCTAAAATCGATTCCTTGATATATCATCAGCTGCTGATACTTTTTTTATAAAAGAATGTTATTACATGAACCAAATCAAAAATAAATTAATACACTGATGATCAATTTTACAACGAACTGGCAGGTCTCTTGCTACCACTACCAGAACCCAATGAATGTATGTTTGAGTAGTATATGTCCTATACACACACTTTGTACATGCTTGCTACAAATTAATAAGCTGCTTTGTACCAACTGTGTGCCCTAGCTAGTTTTTGGAGGTGCACGGCTGTGGAAGAACCGTCCCGGATTTTCTCCATGTCGCATTCTGACAGGTGCTTTTTGCGGCATCCTTACCGTTACTGCCCTGCATCTTCAGGTTAATGTTCTGCAGGGTAATACCATGGCACGGGACATGCATGCTGCAGTTCAGCTTGATGGCGTCCTTGGTCACTGTCGTCCCCTTGATGTTCTTGAACACAACATTGCTGACCTCCACTGCCGACTCCTGCGCCTCGCATGGCGTAGCCTTGTCGCAGTAGTTCTGGTCGATGATGATCGGGTTCGCGACGTTGTACATGACCATGTTTTGGAACGTGATGTCCTTGGCGTACCCGCTTCCTCCCTGGTACGTCTTGATGCGTGCTCCATTGGTCGTGCCGTATAATTGCACTGAATATATGGTGATGCCTGAGACTTCGGCTCTCGAGTTGTCATCTCCTAGACTCCCAATGCTGATCCCGTGCCCTGGCCCACACACGACTTTCGACACATGGAGGTTGTTCGTCCCGGACTCGATGGACAGGCAATCATCACCTGCAAATAAAAAATCCACCGGAATTGAAGAACCCAAAACTTAGCTAAAGTTGAACCAAACTTAAAAACTAGTAGTGTTGTGTGTGTTTCGTGTGGTTTTGAATTGTGAACATATACTAGTAATATATGCTGCTTAATTACCTGTCTTGATCTTGCAGTTGGTGACCTGCACATCGTTGCTGCGTGTGATGTGGATGCCGTCAGTGTTCGGACTGGTGCCGGGCGCTGTGATCGACAATCCTGTCAACTGCACACCGGTGCAATCTTCGATGGACATGTGAATCTGTTGGCTGTTGACAATCTTTAGATCCTGCACTCTCAGGCTCGTGCAGTAGTGGAACGACAGCGCCGTTGGGGCCTCCTTGCACGGCTGCATGCATGCAGAAACAAGTTCAGCTGGTGATCAGGCACGTACTGTAAAACTTTACGTACGATAAATAAAGGCATGCACGTACGAGAGCCTTGTTGATCTTGCACGAGTTCTTCCACCACGTCTCGCCGTTGCCGTCGACGGTGCCGCCGCCGTTGACGGTGAGCCTGTCGACCTGACGGAAGACGATCCAGTGCCGCCAGTCCTCGTCGCTCCAGTCGGACCGGTCGGGCGACGCCACGAGGGTACCCTTCAATGTCACCATGACACTGGACTTGCACGGGCCGGAGAGGCTGACGAGCTTGAGTAGGTAGCGCTTGCCACCGGGGACGAGCAGGACGGCCGGCCGCGGCGAGGCGCACGCCGCCTTCCACGCCCTGGCCAGCGCCTGGGTGTCGTCGTGGCTCCCGTCGCCGCAGGCGCCGTAGCGGTCGAGTCTGAACACGCTCTGCGACGCCGCAGCCAGCGACCTGCGGCCCGTAGCGGCGGCCGCATCGTCGGCGGCAGAGGAGCTGATGGAGCTCACGGAGGAGGTGCTGGTGCCCGTTCCAGCAGCAGCCTCTAGGGCGCCGGACAAGAAGAGCAGCGTGAGGAGTGACGGCCACAACACAAGCTGCGGCTTGTTTGTTATTTGGGACGCCATTGTTGACAGAGCTAATAAAGCACGAATGCATGCACGATCGACGACGACGACAGGCCGGCAACTATATATATACTCAGCAGCTAGCAGTTTAATCGATCTCGGCCAGGTTATGAGCAGGGTCACAGGAGGCTTGCTTGCTGAAATGCCCGAATAAGCTATAGCTAGTTGGACTGGTTGCTTTGCTTGGTGGGCTTAGTGTGTGTGATTGGATGTTGAGCATGGATCAGCCTCAGCTCACGGGGCATATTTATACTAGTCGCTAGAGCCTGGATTAATTCTTGGAGTTGGAGGCGACGGGGATAAAGGAAGGGGTTGTGCACGTTGACTGTTGCGTGTGAGAAGAAGAATGAGCTAGGCTGCATGGCATCACATCGTCATGGCAGGGTTTGTGGAAAAAAATCGCATGCGGACCATCCACATGCAGCACCGTACAGACGCAGGCTCATTCCGACGAGTGGACCCGTTATTCTGACCAGCACGCTGGGTTGGCTCCTAATTTGGTTTCTTCCCACGTGGCGCAAACGGAATGGACGTCCGCATGCTGCTTGGTGAGACGATCCCCGCTTAATTTTTTCCGGGTTTGTTAGGCCCGTTGGCAGATTAGATATATGCGTGCAGGTAGAAGAAAGGATTATAGATTCTCTCCAAGCATGGGAAGCAGATCTATAGATGTACCTGAATATAATCACGTTTCCATGCATGTTTTCTACTGGCTCAGTGCCTCATGGTGAAAAAAAAAACTCACGTGCAGCTTATTAATATCACTTCACCTATATTTCAGGTGTCTGATTTTTTTTTTTGTTATTGTTGAGACAACATGTAATTTTGTCATTATATATTTGACTATAGATGTACCTGAATATAATCACGTTTCCATGCATGTTGGTTTCTACCGGCTCAGTGCCTCATGGTGGAAAAAAAAAACTCACGTGCAGCTTATTAATATCACTTCGCCTTTTTGTTTGTTATTGTTGAGACAACATGTAATTTTGTCATTATATATTTGACTATAGATCGAAAAGAATTACAACTTATCTTGTGAGCTTCTTTTAATTGTCTACTAAGATTATATATGGTCTAAAAATTAATAGACACCTAAAATTCAGCAAGTCCGTATGAATACGTGCGTGCATGTGAGCGTCCGATATATCGAGATCCTCTTTGCATTGGCGTGGACACATACGTCAGTTCATATGCACACGTAGGAGCGCGTGTCGTCGTTGTGTGGTTGAGGTGAAGGAAGCCGCCACACGTCGTCGTCGTCGTCCATCGATCTTGAGATCTTCATTCGTACGTCGTCAGCTGACCACGTAGGTAGGTACGTACATGCAGGTTGATGGAGCGGATCATCGAGCTGTTGCCGCATGACCTTAGCTTCCGTGTGCTCTCCCAGTGCAACTCGCGATCGGTCCCTGCCAGGGATTGAACGCCATGCATCATGACGTCTCCCTCCGATCCCCTCTCCGTCACAGGTTGAGACGAACGACGTTGCCGATCGATGGTCGTAGCTATAGGTAGGCAGATGGATAGATCGAGATGTACGCCATGGATGGCCATCACGCATGCATTATGTGCGTGTGATCGCAAGCTCCGGCGTTAATTAGTTCATTCATGGGGGTTCTTCTCATCGACGACGATGCCGGCCGGCCTTGAATATAATAATTAAACGTGCGCGCGTACGTATTCCACCAGCTTTTAAGTACGTACGTACGAAAAGTGGATTCTGCCGTACCCGTACTACGCGCCAGGAAGAATTGTACGTGCTCGCCCACTCCCGCGTAACCGCCGCCACGGCGTGCCGCGTGACTCCCTGTCCCCGTGTCCACCGGACGCCACAGCGGGGGACTGACATGTAGGACCCACATAGATGTCACCAACATTTTTTAGGCCGCTAGCAACTTTTTCAATACAATTTTCGACATAGTTTTATAAATAAAATTATCACCACCCCTTTTTATCTTATTATATCTTATTTTTGACATAATTTTATAGACATGCACTCTGGAAACAAAGAACATTGCCGAGGGCAAAAGACTTTGCCGAGGGCACGATTTCGAGCACTCGGCAAATCCTTTCTTTGCCGAGGCTGCCCTCGGGCGAAGCTTAGCCCTCGACAACGGATCGTTCGCCGAGGGCCGGACCCTCGGCAATCAACGGCCCACGGCAAAGGCCCACCTTTGCCGAGGGTCGGCCCCTCGCAAGATGCCGCCTCTCGGCGACCTCGGCCGAAAGGCGTGGTGACGGGCGCACCGTCATCGCCTTTTGCCGAGGGCTCGGCGTTAGGCCCTCGACAAAGAATTTGGAAATAAAAAATAAAACTCTTTGCCGAGGGCCCGTTATGCTGAGCCCTCGGCAAATATTTTGAATGGGATGGCGCCATGAAATAAAGAAAATATCTTTGCCGAGGGCCTTGGATGTTGGCCCTCGACAAAGAAATTAAATAAAAAATAAAAAAATCTTTGCCGAGGGCTTTGGATCTAGGCCCTCGGCAAAGAGGGGACCCCATATAAAAAGGGAACGCGGCCGGGCGGGGCGGCCTTATCCCAAGCCGCGCCCGCCCGAGCCCGCCACTACCTGCCGCCGCCGCCGCTGGTCAGCCGCCGCCGTCGCGCCAAGACGCCACCACATGGCTTCGGCCGCCATGCGCCGCCGCCGCCAGCGCAGGCCGCCCGTCATTCGCCGCCGCCCGCCGCCAAGCCGCCACCGCAGCGCGCTTCGGGCCCAGCAGACGCCGCCGCCGCGCCAGCCGCCGCCGCCGCTACGCCCGCCACCCGCGCACCAGCATGCGCACGCAGAATACGCACGTACGTGGTGTATGATGCTATTGCTTTTTTCGTTTAGTTTGGGACGGAAAATTTAGGAAAATATGCAGCAAGCACTGCATCGGCGAGGGCGCCACCAGGGGGAAGTGTGGCTTCCTCATCTTCAGGTCCTTCTGCTTCTGCACCAAAGAATGCGACTGAACACAGTCATCTGAACTGCAACGGTGACTTGCTTATGAATAAGAGCAAGGTTGTGATGTGATGTGATGTGGCTACTAAGATCTTTGAATCAATCAATAATCCTTTTGCCGATACTTGTGGATTTCGACTCAATTCCCATCTAGTGAGTATATTGTTCTGTGCACTATCGTTGTGCTACAAGTGTGGTGGTTTAAAGTATGAATTGCAGTAGAATCGATGTTTCAAGTTCACTTTTTTAGTGGTTTTAGGACCAATTCGTCATATCCATACTGTTGTCCGGACCATGCTTACGCAAGTTGCTGGTACCAAATACACATTTAAAAGAAAACATCAGCATTGTTGAAAGGGAAAACTCATCAGCAAAGATATGCATACTGGTTCAGTACTTTTCTGCAGTTGCACTTGTTTTATTCACTGTCTAAGCGGGTCATGTTTTGAAGCAATTACTTGGGCATGCAATGCAGGTGGTTCTGGATAACGGCCTCGTCTGGACGACCTTGCCGTCACCTTCACTTCCCCGTCCCTCGGTCGAGTAGAAGGTAAAACCATGGGTTGTCGGCCATCGCGCCGTTTTTTGATGTGGATGGCCTTCGTGCCTCCCATTGTTGATGTGTCGGCCTTTGTGCCGTGAATGTGGGTGTTGGCCATCGAGCCGATTTTTTTTGCAGGTTTTGGAAACCTCCCCGTACAGGGGAGGTTCTGCCGAAATTTTTAACTTATACCCTTTTTTTTTGCAGAGCAAAGGACGTCAAAGGAGCTTCAGAGTAGTCGATTGTCCTCGTCGGCGCTGCGACTCTCCACTGCCCCGACTCGCCACTGCCCCGCTACCCTGTCTCCACCGCCACCTTAGGTATAAACAACCTCTACTCCTGTATCTTTGTCGTAGACTGCGTAAACCAGTTAGGCGTCTCCCGTCCGAAAGAGATACGGTTGGAGGCATGCAGATCACTGTGTGTATCTGACCGTATCTGTTTCGGATTGTCCACGTTTTTTGGACAGCCCGCGTATGCGTAGATGAGGTCAGTTTCCATGCTCGCTCCGATCCGAGCCAGAATTTCGGCAGCACCTCCCCATTGTTCTCCGAATACACAAACTTCTTTGCAGGACGTGTATTGGGAGAACATCGGAGAGGTGCTGCCAAATTGCCTCTCGATAGGAGCGAGCATGGAACTCGACTCTCATCTGATCTGACGCTGGGTGGGATTAGGATCTATCCTCACCTATTAGACAAAGTAGGAACACCGGCTAGGTGCGATTGATGGTTACGTTACTCGGTGATGTATTTGTCAAAGGATGGAGGACCGTCGCTGGATGTACATGGGCGAAGAAGTCGAAACGATTACGACGTGGATTGGGTGAAGAGGGATGATGACTTCTTGAAACATGCATTTGGCGAGGGTGTAGCTAAAGGGCATTCTCTAGTTTGGTGTCCGTGCGACCACCGTGACAACAGGAGAAGGGTGGACAAGCGGACCATGGGTAAACATCTTGTAATACCATGGTTATACGCCGGCTACCACCGGTGGATCTACCATGGTGAAGCCGATCGTGTCGTAGAGGGAGGTGGTGAGACCACGTCTCGAGCCTTTTTAATGATGATCTTTGGGGTAGCAGACATGATAGATGACGCTCACCAAGCTCAGTTCGCTGAAGGACGTGACAAGGAGGAGATGGAGGCAAACGTAGAAGCCTTCTACAAAATGTTGGACTCGGCGTCTAAACCCCTTCACGAGCATACAAATATTTCTCAGCTGGATGCCATTGGGCGTGTGATGGGGCTGAAGGCCGAGTTAAACCTGAGTCGAGAAGGCTTCGATAAGATGTTGACTGTGTTTGGCACCATGCTACCGAAGAACCACATTCTGCCCCCCAACTTGTACGAGTCAGAAAAACTCCTTCGTGCGCTCAAGATGCCATATGATAAGATACATTGTTGTCCAAAAGGGTGTGTCCTATTTTGGAAAGAACACGAGCATGCAAAGTACTGTCCGAAGTGTGGATCCTCCAGATACCTAGAGGTAGTATCTGGTGATGGCC